TCTCCCCTTGGAGGCATCTTGTTCGTGCCCAAACTGTAAATCTTCATATTCAATAAACGCCCATTTTTGGGACTTTGTTTCAAGAGGTTTGTCCCTTACACAATCGTCTGATTCCCTTTTAATTATTAACGAGCGAAAAAAGCGCGAAACACTTAGTAACAGTCATTTGGTGTCGTTTAATGTTACTTTTTCCCTTGTGTGACTAAGCAATAATTTTTATAATGTAAAGATGTCCTGTTTAGATAGATATTGACGTGAGAAAATCTCGACGTGTTAGGCTGAATTATGGAAACTTTTCCAAGCCAACAAATATAAAGTCGCATTAACGACAAGTAAAAGCTTAATGAAAGTTGTTAAGAGTGATTTTTTAAAATTATTTTTGGCTTTTCATTTTAACGTTTTCTTGTCGTAGTAAAATTGCATTCTTTTTTCTGCACATTTTTTTCTCTGTGTTAATCTTTTCATGGAGGACACGACCAATTTCTTTTCAAATTCTGGAGAATTTTCAAATGAACTTTTGGGAGCCGATATTGAGGTGTCTACAAATTTATTCGGTAAAATTAGGTTTGTGCTCTCAAATTTTGTATTGTATGTTTATGGATTTTCAACCTTCAAAAGTGAAGTTTTAGGTTGTCTATCCTATTGGAATTTGTAAATTTGGATCCTCAAGTAATGAAAATCGTCATTTAGATGTTAGAATTATGGGTAATTATATTATCACCACAAAATTACTTACTCCATCACATTATGATCACACCACAATTAAAATATATTTTCAATAAATAGACCACAACAAATTTACAATTATATTCTTAGAGTGTGGTTGGTAGGGATTTTTGGGATAATAATTGATTTTTGAATAGTGATATGATGGGAAATGTGTGGTTGAAAAAGAAGAAAAAAGTATTGATGTGATGGAAAATATTATTTTATTGAAGAATGTGCGGATGAAAATGAGAATTGATTTACTGTAGAAAATGAGAATCTGTACCAAACAGACTCTTAATCCAATAAAAACTAAAAATGAAAAAAAAAAAATTATTATGGTGTACTTATTGTACCAATATTACTCCTCATTTTTCTCATCTACAATTTCATGATTTTTTCTAAATTTTAGGCTGCAATTGAGACTTCGAAATGCCATACGTCTCGAAAACAAGGGATCTCTTTTCAACTGATATTGCTCCAATAAAAGTAGAGAAAGTGATTGCATTGTGTTTTGAGCATTTATCATCAATCTTCACTGGCTTGATTACTTGGATTATCTTTGATGTTGGGTGTTGAATGCTACAAACAATGCAAACTACATTGCTTCAAGATGAGACCTCATCGGTAGGGATGGCAACGGTCCCGCCCCGTTAGCCGTTTAAGGCGGGGCGGGGGTGAGTCCTTTCCCCGTTTAATTTTTTTTTTTAGTTTTTTGATAATTTATTTTTATTGTAAAATAATTTTAATTGCTATTTTTTATTAGAACTAATGAAAACTTTCATTTAAAGTATTGAATTCTAAAATAAATAAATAAAAAATAAAAAAATTTAATGGGGCGGGGCCCCATTACCTGTCCCCGAGACAAAATTCCCCGTCTCGTTACCAGATTAAGTTGATTATCTCCATCGAAAACGGGGTACGTTCCGCGGGTATCGGGTTTGTCGGGTTTTTTGGCCATCCCTACTCATCAGATGTGTTTTTGACAAAGAGATCGATAACCTTCATGAAGAAAAATTGTTTTTATGTCAAATTTGTTGTTCCCGAATAGAGAAAAGTCCGATTTCGAAACTTTGCACAGTTGACTTCTCTAATGAGAATGGGGCTCACCGAATAAATGGAAAAGCAGATTTCGCCAACAATTGATATCTTTTGCACGATTGTTGAGGGGGGAAAAAATATGAAAAATCAGGTTTATGATTATGGTGAAACAATAAATTATTTTATGTAATAAATATATTAAAACTCCATTTACGTAATTTTATTTAAGGTTATTTAAGTAAATAAAGAATATAATTAAAATTGTGGTGTAACTAATAAATTTCGTAGTGGTAATATAATTACCCTCAAATTATGTACGACTTTTAAGTTGAATTGAAGTTAAATGTTAAAGTTTTTGACAATTTTTCCCTCTAGTTACGAGTCATCTGAAAGATGCATACGATTTTTACATTTATATTGATGATTTTGGTCATTTAGGACATTCCTTACTTGATATAAACTTCACTTTTAAAGGTTGAAAATGTGTAACATTCCTTACTCTATATATGGAAACAAACTATACCATTTTAATTTCGAAATTTGTCGACCCTAAGTTGCTTTATGAAGCATATTCATGTCTTAGCTTGTATTTAATTTTGATGGAATCACGGACGGTTGGCAGCGTCATTATGACTGAATCTTGATTAGCAATGACTAATTAAGTCGACATTCATGCTAATTACACCTGATTGAATGATTACACCCACCATTTTTGATAATGAAATTCATGTTATTCCTCAACGGGAATATGCTTTCATGGAAAAGGTAAGAAAAAGTTGGCAGATTCAAAGGATTTTCATGTGAGTTTGCTATATAATTATGGAAAAAATTAATTGACTTTTTGATAAAGCTAATGGTGCAAATTAGTTGGTAGTTCTACCTTTACCCTACATGAATAACTATTTCTTAATTAAAGCAAAGCATGACACCTCCAAGTGATCATTTCTCTCTCCTTTGCGATGTCGATCTTGATGTTTATCCATACAAGTATACAGAATAACAAATTAACGGTTTATTTGATGTGAACTTTTTGAGTATGGATTTTGTGAAAAGTAAATATCTGTGGTGGTGGTTGGGGGTGATGTGGCAGCGATGGCGGTGGTTTTTGTGGTGGTGTGGTGTGGTACAGGCGGCGATGGTGGTGGTGCAGGCGGTGATGGTGGTGTGATGCAAGCGGTGTTGGTGGTGGTTGAGGTAACGTTAAATTGAAAACACCCAAAAAACATTTTGAAAATTTGGCTTGATTTGAACTGAAAACACCCAAAATGACATTTTTGTCGTTTTCGAATTTTTTTTTTTTTTTGAAAATAGGTAAGTAAACGTGTTTTCACCATTTTGAAAAATCGAAAATAGAAAACGGGCTGAAAACGATAAAGAGAACATCCCCTAAATTTTTGGAAGTTATGAGTTCAAGTTTATTTTATTGAAAGAATATATAGTTGAAAATAAGTTTAAAAAAAAAAAAAAATGAGTTTTAAAGAATCTATACCAAATGAGGGCTAAAATTTATTCTCAATAAAATTATGATTTCTCTATTCTATGTATTCTGCTTTAGTACTGCCATCATTTAATAATTCCAAAAGATTTTTCTTAATGGTATTAGATCTACAACCGCACTACAGTGACAGGGTCCGTGACCCACCCAAAAACAGGGGGTCGAGGCGGCTTCATCTCTGTCCTTGATCAGAATTGCAACAGTAAATCAAGGGCCACCTCGGCCCCCTATTTTTTGGTCGGTTACCGACCCTGTTACACTAGCATTTTTGTTAGATCTAAGTGCATGTTCGATAAAATAAATTAGATTTTACTAGATAGTACAATAAATAAATAAGATTTTTTTCCTTATATTATTTAATTCGCGCGTTCCATTTTTTTCTACTTTAAGGTTCTGAAATATTGTGTCATCAGAGAATCTGCAATATTTATTGTAACATTATTACAGAGATTGCATCAAAGGCACCCATAAATAGATGTAATTTTTTCAACAAAAACAGAAATAATTAGCAATTTATCAAGAGGCAACATCTAGTTTTAGCTTTTTTGCATGCTTAATAAATGTAATGTAATTCTATATAAGTGGAAAATGAACTTATAATAAATACAAAGCAATTCTCATGCAATTGCACCACAGATACATAAAATAAAAGAAAAAAACTAACTTTTTTTTTTTTTGGTAAATTACCCCCCAAAAAGTGAAAAATATGTCACAAATATGAAATAATAAGAAAAACAGTACATAACGCTGATAAAGTTACAAGAAAAAAAAAATCTTATTTCATCAACGAGACGAAGAAGCACTGGGATTGAACCCCAGGCAGCCCAGTAATCCTTGTTTATATGGCAAGAAAGTCCTTTTCTTCATCTCTTCAGACACAGCCCGGTTAACAGTGTAATGCAATTCATGAGCTGAAATTGATGGCCCTGTTGTTCTACTCGATCCTGATCCAACACTGTCCGTTGATCTGAAGCTACAACTCTTGATCACTTGATCACCATCTTGATGGCAATTTTTCTTCAACTCTGTTGCCCTACTTTCTGATGCACTTCTGAACAGTAACAAGTCCTTTATTTTCCATCTTTTGTACCAAGATGTAGCTGAAAAAATGGATGAATTTGATGAAGAAGGTACTGCAGAAGAATTCTTGGATTCTCTTTGATTGTTGTCCGCATCAAATAATAAGTCGGAAACTCTGAAAGGAGATAAAGATTTTGTTCTTCGAGAGCTTTCTTGAATGTTTTCTTTTTGGGTTTGGTTGATGGCAGCCGCAAATGGATCAAATTCTTCCTTCCTGTCGTTAAGGAATCCCCCGTTAGATATAAGGGTTTGTGTGGATATTTGTATTGGAGTTTGCTACTTGTACAGTTTTCTTTACAGATATCAAGGGTCAAAATGTATGACACCTTGACATTTGTCAACAAAGGTGTAACACAATTTAGGTACATGTAGCTTAATTCATTTCTAAAAAGGAAATTCGAGGCTCGATAAAATATTCTAGTCCATAAAAGCAAAAACGAGCTTTTCAATCTGTCTAAAGCTTAATAATCAAGGTTGACGTTTTAATATAGAACTTGAAGAATCAATACCTGTGACGCGGGGAGAATTTCTTGGGTGATTGAGCAGATTTCGGAGGATCGGGTGGCTTGTTTTCGTATTGTAAGCGTGGAGGGGGTTTTAGGGGCTTGATATAAGAGAAAGAGAGAGGCTAAGGAAGGGAAGAGAAGAGAACACGTTTCCATTTCCTAATTTTTGAATACAATTTTTTGAAATTGTAAAAAGATCGCATTTTCATAAATCTCAAAATTGACACTCAAAACACAAAACTCAAAATGAATTCAAAACACAAAACTCAAATTCAAAGAGAACAATTAGCAATTTATCAAGAGGCAACATCTAATTTTAGCCTTTTTGCGTGCTTAATAAATGTAACGTAATTCTATATAAGTGGAAAATGAACTTATAATAAATACAAAGCAATTCTCATGCAATTGCACCACAGATACATAAAATAAAAGAAAAAAACTAACCTTTTTGTTTTGGTAAATTACCCCCCAAAAAGTGAAAAATATGTCACAAATATAAAATAATAAGAAAAACAGTATATATCGCTGATAAAGTTACAAGAAAAAAAAAATCTTATTTCATCAACGAGACAAAGAAGCACTGGGATTGAACCCCAGGCAGCCCAGTAATCCTTGTTTATATGGCAAGAAAGTCCTTTTCTTCATCTCTTCAGACACAGCCCGGTTAACAGTGTAATGCAATTCATGAGCTGAAATAGATGGCCCTGTTGTTCTTCTACTCGATCCTGATCCAACACTGTCCGTTGATCTAAAGCTACAACTCTTGATCACTTGATCACCATCTTGATGGCAATTTTTCTTCAACTCTGTTGCCCTACTTTCTGATGCACTTCTGAACAGTAACAAGTCCTTTATTTTCCATTTTTTGTACCAAGATGTAGCTGAAAAAATGGATGAATTTGATGAAGAAGGTACTGCAGAAGAATTCTTGGATTCTCTTTGATTGTAGTCCGCATCAAATAATAAGTCGGAAACTCTGAAAGGACATAAAGATTTTGTTCTTCGAGAGCTTTCTTGAATGTTTTCTTTTTGGGTTTGGTTGATGGCAACCGCAAATGGATCAAATTCTTCCTTCCTGTCGTTAAGGATTAAATCCCCCGTTAGATATAAGGGTTTGTGTGGATATTTGTATTGGACTTTGCTACTTGTACAGTTTTCTTTACGGATATCAAGGGTCAAAATGTATGACACCTTGACATTTGTCAACAAAGGTGTAACACAATTTAGGTACATGTAGGTTAATTCATTTCTAAAAAGGAAATTCGAGGCTCGATAAAATATTCTAGTCCATAAAAGCAAAAACGAGATTTTCAATCTGTCTAAAGCTTAATAATCAAGGTTGACGTTTTAATATAGAACTTGAAGAATCAATACCTGTGACGCGGGGTGAATTTCTTGGGTGATTGAGCAGATTTCGGAGGATCGGGTGGCTTGTTTTCGTATTGTAAGAGTGGAGGGGGTTTTAGGGGCTTGATTTTCCCACCATCAAACAGTTCATCAGCAGTTAATGAACTTTTCTCCAGTTGACCACTAAAATCAAAAGCAAAATCTGCACCATCATCATTGGTAGTATCACCACGACCAGTTGCGGCGGCGCTGTAGTTCTTGAAGTCTCTGTAGAGGGCGGAGACACTGGTGTGGCTGGTGGGGGTACTATAGAATAAGTTTCCAAATCGTTGTGGGCTTGAAGGGGCAGTTATGTATGGTGAAGTGCTCGCACTGTCAAAGTTTAAATCCACAGGCGGTGATGGTAACATCACCTCCACTTCCATTGACGAGTCTGTGAGAGAGAGACTCTGCAAATGGCAGAAATGTAACGAAAGATGATACATATAGACACAACACAAATACATACAAAGAGGGGGGTGGGGTGGAGTGTGGGGTGAGATTGACTAGTAGCAGAGTTGCCCTTTACATCCGGCTTGATTATTCTTGTAACGGACGGTCGTGTGCTATTTGGATACCATAATATATTCCTATTCAATGTTGTTAAGATTTGGAGTTTCATTTCATCTTAAACAATTAATCTTGTGAAAGGAAATGTCAAAATCCTTATAAATTGATTTATATTTTCATCTTTATTTGATGTAAAATTTTATTCCTTAACATGCCACCACAAGATGATGGCTCATTTGAACATATCAATTTTGAAATCCATTAGCACAAACCTTTATAAATTGATCTATATTTTCATTTTCATTTGATATTGAATTTTATCCCTTAACACTCATGCTTGGTTCAATTATAAAAGTGAATTAAAATTTAAATTAAAGTCAATAACTAATTCTAGAATAATGTTATCGTATATGAGCAATTATATAATGATTTACGTACAGATTATGTGTCAAAAAGAGGGGGAAGAATTTTTTTTTTTTTTTTTGGTTGGTGAAATTCTTACCCAATCACATTTCACAACATAATAATTATGCAAACCGTTATATAAACTTATTATATACATGTAGCACAATCAATAATTTCAACCACACATTTTTTGAGACTCACAATTTGTCAACAATACATTCCATAAACTTTTTATCTAAATCAAGCAGGGGTTAAGTAGGAGATCCATTCTATTACACTAAGTGCATGTTTAGAAAAGTTGATGAGTAGTTATAAGCTGTGAGTAATAAAAGTGTTTGTAACTTGTAAGTTGGGAGTTTTACGAAATATGTGAATAAAAGATATGATTCATCAGTGTATTTTATGCATTTATATAGGCTCGTAAAGTTACTTAAGATTTGATTATTTGGGGTGAATTTCTGCCCATATCACTGTATATATTATTTTTCTAGGTAAAACCCTAATTTTGAGTTGAATCAAGAAAAAAATTGAAGAGATTCTGAGCTTAATTGAAGCTGAAATGGTGGATTGCATGACCATCAAGGAGTTGAGAACTTGATTGGAAGTTTGGAACAGTTGATTGGAGGATTTCATAAATTTTGAAGACCAAATTCAACATTTGGAGAGTTTGGGGAGCAGAAGTGGAGGAAATAAGAATATTGGGGGTTAACTTGAACATGTTCACAACTTGAATAACCAAAATTGAAAAGATTCAAAGTTGAAGGATCAATTTGGATGAAATCAGAAGTTGAAGGATCGACATTAACAAAGTCAAAGGTTGAAGGACTAAATTGGATGAAAGTTAAAGCTCGAAGGACCAAACTTTGCAAATAATGAAGAAATGAAGCTCTCTACCTCAAATTGCATTCCGATAGCTTCAAATATTAGGGCGTGAACAAAGAAGCAATCAAGATTACCAAGGTTTTAAAATGGGTAATGCGTAGTAATGCGTTTCTGTCAAGTATCAAATATTACAAGCATATGTGTATTTATGCAAAGGATATGCGAAATTATGCGTTTTTATAATTCTTAATATTATTTTAAATATAGTAAACTAATAAATAAACAAAATAATTCATTTTTTGAACTTTATACATATTCCTCAAATTTCAAAAAGTAAAATAAAAAAATGTTGTTCAAAATTATAATTACTAAAAACCACTTAGTAAGTATTTCCTACAATTAGATTAGACACGAACATCGATTAAAAAAAAGAAAAATCTTAAATCTTATTTAACTCTTTATTGGATTCTAATTTAATCTCCTCTTTTTCATCTAAATCATCTTTTGTGTCATTCGATGCAAAATGTGCATATCACATCATTAGGTTTACTAACATCTTCAACAATTGCAATTTTACATCCAACATCCCCAGAAATTTCTTTTAGCTCATTATCTAAGGAAATAGAGTTAGATGCCATGGAGGAATCGTTTTGCTTCATTGATGAGTTTGATAAATATTTTTTCCTAAAATTAAAATCTAGAGGAGAAAAAAATGACCCTGAAAGTTCTAATTAGGTGAGCAATACAATAATGAAAAATACACCTTCAAGTTTCTACAACTCAATGAAGATCTCAACAGTGAAATTAGAGGAAGATCGAAGAGGAAAGAGACTCGGACTCGGTGTAAATAGTTTGCAATTCTACGAAAAATTTGTTTTAATTTTTCTAAACATCAGAACTCTATGGAATGCTTTATATAATTCACGGACTTGGATGATTTGGGACAACTTGATGTTTGTTGGACTCAATTTGTTAGTTTTTTTTTTTTTTGAAGTTATAAATGGACTTGGCTTTGCAAGACTGATTTGAACACAAATTTAAAGGCAAATGCGTGTGCATTTTGACGTTTAAGCACGGTCAACAAAATGGGTTGACCTCATTATCACATACATATCCCATATGTGAGGTGTTTCATAAACGCCTATGTGCGCATTTTAAAACACTACTTTTTCGATTTTTCCGCACACTTTAATGGGTAAAGCTCAGGAATGGTTGAATTTATTGTCTCCGGATAACATCATAGGCATTTGGCAAAGGGATATGCTCATGTGAGGGTGTAGACACCCCTATGTACATAAATTATGTACACCAAGAATTTTTCTTTGGCAAACTGCCACACTTGCTATACATGTCAATGAGAGCCTTCGTCACAAAAAAATTTCTTCTACAAAACCTGTTTTGATACTAAAACCATGTAATTCTGTACCTTTCTGCAACGAAGAAATGCCCGTTCAAGCCTGAAGTAAGCTCAGAATAGTAGTAGAGTTTGGCTTAATACTTTCACGTTGCATTTGGATACAAAACTCAAAGTGCATCTTTATAGTATCCTTTTTGTGAACAACCAGATATTAGAGAAGCAGCATTGGGATTCAAAATAAATGTTTTGATTTCACGAATCATTGCTAAAGCTTCCTTAATACATCCAGCCATTGAATAACCAGGCATCATGCCGTTACATTTCACTACATCATGTTTAATTCCTTCTTTCCGCATTTGGTTCATAAGGCTCACAGCTTTATCGAAATTCCCTTACAAAGAATATCCTGAAATCAATGAATTCCCAGCAAAAATGTTTCTATTCTTGATACCATCAAAAAAAATCTTCAGCACTTTGTAAGTCGTCATTCTTCACATACATGTCCAGCAAAGAAGTTCCTACATGCAAGTCATGGTCGAGTCTGTTTTTTATGAATTACCAATGGATTTCCTTCCCAAGAGTCTGGAACATAATTTGCTTATTGCTCGAAGGGCACTAGTTATGGACCTTGAATTTGGCTTGTAACTTGCAGTTTGCATTTCCGTAAGATGTTCTGTACCTCATGGTATGATCCACGATGCAAATATCCCAACAAAAGACAATTCCAGGTTATAATGTCAGGCTTCACGTTGGAAGTTTCCATTTCATGAAATAGCTCCCATGCCATGCATAATCTAGATAGGCAAGGGCAATATAACTCGAGATGATTGAGTTCCATGAAGATAAGTTGTGATTTCCCATTAGATCAAATACAGGTCGAGCCAATTCAAGATTATCGTGCACACTGATCAAAGAATTTCATATCAATAAATCTGATTCAACTGCAATGCGAATAACGTACCCATGTATTTGTTTTTTCCTATTCGAGAGCTCCCACTTTTCGACAAGCTTCTAGTACCTTCGCAATCACGAGACTATTAGCCTTGATAGGACGAAATTGCATATAATGCATGCAGGGCCTGCTACCATCTCTCATTCCTCAAATGTACCAAAACACCTTCATTCCACAACAAAAAGTTGTGATATGATCTTTCATCAAACACCTTATTAGCACTATCTACACCCAAAAACTTCAGGCCTAAACTTTATGTCCTCTAAATTTCACAAAGTTTAGAGCAATTATCAGAATTTTGCTGCCAAATCTCACACATTTATTATGCAACTCAACAAAAACTTAAAAGAATTTCAGGAGGGTCTCCACCAGAATTCCTATAATTTTCAGCAAAACAAATTCCAATACACATAGCTTTGTGCAAAACCCACAAAGAAAATCATTGCAGCAGTACGAAAACCACCAAATTCCAAGTAATGACATCATCAAAGATTGCACATTTATAACTGAATCCCATTTCTTGGATACTATTTAACATCTGGGCATGGCTTGCTTCGACAGAATCAAGGGATTTAAGTTCATTAAAGTCATTAAATGAAGACGGGTTTGACAAGAAATCAAAAGATACAGGTCAAAAGATACAGGTTCAAGAAAAGCAAGAAGTGAATTTTCAGATGGGATTTCGGCAACATTGAGCAGGCTAAAATTGGTTGCATGACTTTTTTGTGGGTTTTTAGGGAGAGGTAGTTCAGGGGGTGATGAATTGAAGTTGAAACTGTGCCGTGAATTTATGGCCTACATCACAGGATGTCAAATAAGTGTATATTGTTTAACAAATTACGTTACAAAATGAATATGAAAAAGAAAAAGATTAATTTCTATGCTTTGAGGAATATATATTGTTCAATAATGATTTTTCATTATTTTTCCTTGAACATGAATCACTTATTTATAGTCCTCAAATGTCTTTTACGAAATGGTGCCAAAAAAGTATGAAAAACCACCAAATTCAAAAACACAACGGCTAAAAACGATCAAAAAATTGACCTATGCGGTCGCATAGGATTGGCCTATGCGACTGCATAGTTAAATTAACACCGGGGCCTCAAGTCCCGGTATAAGATGATGCGATCGCATGGTTCTTTGAACTATACAGTCGCATAGTTCAACTATACTGCCCCTATTCCATTTTTTCATTCTTCATCCCTTTTATCAAATTTTGAACAATATTTCCAACAATCTCCCACTTGTTCAAAATTGAACAAAAACTCATATTCAAAATATACAATACTTATGTGTAAGGATTAGATATCTTTCGATTTGAATGTAACCATAGTGCA